CAGCTAAAGAACAGAAAAAATGTCTTAAACTATAGCAACTGTTTGATTCAGTGGGGTGATTGTATAGGATATTTTATTGCTAAAACATTGCAGGAAAGGAATACTCCAAGTTTTACCTCAAAAAGATTGGAATGAATTTACAGATCTATCTGAAATTGTATAACTCCTCTACAATGCCTGAAATATGTCATATAACCATTTCCTATGGTTCTTATTGCATAAGAGATGCATATTTGTGCTACTGAAAAAATACTTTAAAGCATTTGGAAACTCCTGATAATAATTTGAGCTCAGAATAATTGTTTGAAGAGGAACAATTATTGGAAGGGGGAAAGAAGATGCAAGACTGCAATTTGTAACTAGACATTGCAGGCAAGAGTTACTAAATGCATTTTTTGGGATGCTTTCATTAGACACTTTCAGCATTGAAACACAGCATCCTAACTTATGAAATACTTCTGAAAAATTTATCCAAAATCTCTTTCTCCATGTACTTTTGATCTCATTAAGAGATATGAAGATGGTCAAATATCCTCATTAATGGAACCTTTCTTATTTTAAACACAGAAATATTATGAATTTGAATATGTTCAGTCCTAAAGCAGTTACTGTGACTTCGGTGTCCTATTTAGATCTCAAAAATTGCAATTACTGTAATGAGTATTTATTTTTATGAGACATAGTAAGAGCATGATTAGGATTCTGGAGTATATTTTCAAGTTTTTACAAATCTATCACATGGGAGAAAGGCTGCAGTCAATGTGCCAGTGGTGCTACATGTGAAATAAAATAGATGTCAGGGTAAGAACAGCATGACTGAAATGTTTCAGTGAGTCAATATTTGGTTATGGAAATCAACTGTAGGTGTAGGAAAACATGATTTTTTAAAATCCTCTGAATAAGGACATGTTTATAGCACAAGTGTGTGGGTGACGATATTACTTTTATCATTAATAGTTGTTATTCTGATATACCTAGATCAATATGAATTAGATATTAACTCCCAAGATGAACTTTATGTTTTGAGATAATACACTAGCTTTGTAGAACCTGTTATATTTACTTCAAAACTCATTGCTTTGGAGAAGAGCTACCTGTTTTAATAGAAACTTTAGGAGTCCTATTTTATGTAGAATTTTTTTAGGTTTATATTTAATTTAAGGAGCCCTGCAAAGTTGTTTTTTTTTCAGAGTGTAAGTGAATTTTTAGCTAATTAAAAATAAAAACAAATCCGGTATATCTGATACTGCCACCAGCACTATGTCTTGGCTCCCTGGCCCCTGTATGTGATAATAAGAAATACAATAGATGCCAGACTGCATAAGAGACAGTGTTCATAAGACATACTAACAATATAAAACTTAAGCTTGGCTATATTCTTATTTGATAGAAACCACTCTCTTATGACTGAGACAAAGATATTTCATTACCAAAAAAAAAAAAAAAGTGGGAATTCTAACATGCACCTCAGTTTTCAGTTTCCTCTTAGGTGATATTTCAGTCTACCCTGGAGAAACCAGAAGGCCCTATAGCAGAGGAAGAAGATCCTCTGAAGTTTCCCAGACCCATTGTTAGGCAGAATCAGGCATATATGTGTGGTACTTCATCTTGGCAGCAGATCCAAGTCAGACAGCAACACTCTTCTAGGAAACCAGGCAGTGATTAAAGAAAGAAAAAAGGAAACTTCAACCTTACAACTTTTTTGACTGCTGAGGTTCAAGGATGTTGAAACTAACCACAATTAAATCTAGACTTAAACCCAGCTGACAGAACTGCCTGAGAAAGAAAAGAGCCAACCAATATCTTGATCAGTGGAAAGTTTCAAAGCAGTTAATTGAAAAAATTATTAGAGAGGATATAGCAAGTTGTGCCCTTCAGACTCATCCACAAACATCACAATGCCAAATTATTTAATACACATTTATTTGGTAAAAGAACAAAGTCTTCAGTCCTATTCCAAAGAATACTTAACAGATGGAACTTAAAGGCTTATGAGAGAGTCATGAAGTGTTAAAAATGTGTTGATGAGTTGATTTATGTGGAATTCTGAGGCTATTTTTCATAGAAATTTCAAATGTAGTCTGAGAGTGACCTTGTCCTCCTGAAAATAGTACATGAGTCTAAGAAGGGCCTACCCTTACTCTCTGAAATTCTCTAGTCCATAAAATATAAGTATGGTTACTAAAATTGCCCTTTTGGTGATTCTCCATACAACCATATGAGAGAACCATATAGAGCCATGTAGAAGCATATGAGAGAACCATATAAAGAAACATTAAAAAATAGATTGAAGGGATGACACAAGCTATTTCATCCACAATGACCAAAGTACCGTATTCATGTTTGAGACAGCAAATGGCTTCTTAATCATTGAGAAACAACCAAAATACTGTGGTGTGAGCAAAGAATCAAATTACCTCCCACAGTATATGATATGCTGAAATAACAACCCAATAGATCTTCACAAAGCTAATTAATAGTTTCATGTATTTCATGGTCAACAGTCAATAAATATTTCAGTACAGTTGGAACATAAGAGTCCATGGATAGACCCGAGTTGGTGATCAACAGTGAAAGATTTCTGAGGACTATGCAGAGAAAAATATTAATCAACTAAGAATGGCACAGAAATTGGTGAATGAATCAGTCAAAGGACCAATCGCATGTGATATAAAGCCATTTCTTCTAGATACTGAATATAAAAAGGAATTCAAAATTAAAATCTGCTTTAAAATCAGATTGCTAAACAATTTGAAACACATCAGAAGATAAAATACAGGTCAAATGGTACTTGCTTTTACCTTTCTCCTCAGCAGCTTCTAGAGATTTCTCCTCTTCCTCCAATTTCAGTATCTCTTGAATTTCTCTTCTGTAATTAGAAGATTATTCATTTTAAGATTTGTAGAAATACTACTGAAGCAAGCGGCAAGCATATTAAAAGTAAGAAAAGATAAGGAAAAAAACACTGTTGAGAATTGAAATATAATTTGGTTTGTACCACACAGAAGCTGAAAATATTTTATCCTCCTAAATGTTATTATATCATAAAAAAGCCTGGGGCTGATGAACACATATTAGCTAGAATATCTTCTGTTGCCAAAGACTGTTCTATATGAGGTATTTCTCAATTTAACATACATTGGATTATTTCAAATACATCAGAACCAGTCTTAATGTACTCTTCTGTACACTTAGGTTGATTGATATCTCCTATCCATAAAAACAAAGTAAGGCTAGATTTTTTTGAGATCATTTTAAAAACTCTGATATTTACTGTATTTTACCTTTCTTCTTCTTCTTCTTCTTTCTCTTTTAATGCTTCATCTGTTAGTCTTTTCAAAATCTTAGCATTAATTTCATCCTTATTTGCTAAGTACAGTCTGTGTAGTAAACAAGTTCCTGTAATATAATTATAGAACAATACTAGATTTTATACAGCTACATAAAACTAAAGTTGAGATATGAAAATGATTTAAGCACCATTACATTTTACATCTTACATTTTCTTTACATGGTCTGTTACTCTGGCATTTATTCTGTGTGTATGTATATAAAGAAAACTGAACAAACAAAATTCAAATAAAAATATAGACTATACATATCTATACTGCTGCAGCAGGTTGACTACATGGAACAGTATGGATTTATTTACTTTGACAAATAGTATTATAATATATGGCTTTTTGCATGAACTCTGTTTACAGCAGTGGAATTATATTAGTTTAGGCAAACTCAGGGAATGGAGTAGAAAGTAATGACTCAGAGTGCTGTGAAAATTTAAATTATAGAACAACATTATTTAAGAGATAAAAGTGTGAAGCAAAGAATTAACAAAATTGCCAAATGATAAAAAAAGAATGAAATAAAACAAAATGGCTAAATTCAAGGAAGCATAGACATAAAACAAAAGTTACAACTTTAGCCACTCTTTAAAGCAGATAATATAATCTTGCCTCCTCCGCTTTACCTTACTCATCCTCATTCTTCCCATGCTTCATCTAGTCACTGTAATCAACTCATGTAAAATATATTTTTATCTGTAATTGAGCTGTGATAAACAAGTTACTTAACTGCTAGGAACATTGAGCTGCTGTTGATTCAAGGCAGAGGATAATTTTGTGTGAATAATACAGATTTTTTGATTCTTTTGATTAACATTTTTAAAGGAGGGAAGCTGAATGGAGGGATTTTTTTCTAAATACAGTTTGTAAAGAAGTCATTTTAAGTAATTCTGTCTGGGCATTCTTCTGCAAGAAAAGTTGTGAGAGCTTTCAGTGGATCTGCCTAGTGGACCAGATATACACTTCTCTTTCATGTGCTTTCTCATAGTGCTATAAAAATAGTGATAAATTGGTTGTGTTTTTTTTTTATTTATTTGTTTGTTTGCTTGTGTATTGATTTACTAGGGGCAAATTCATGTTTTTTGTTTTGTTTTGTTTTAGTTGATTTACTCGGGTACCAGTGTTTATCACTCAGAGGCTCTGACGTTGCCTCATCTGATGAAGAATTTCTGTGCTACTCGACCAAATTACTCCCGTAACATCCTCATAGGGAAGCTCAAAAAGTGTGGAATAGATGAGTAGACAGTGAGGTGGATTGAGAACTGGCTGAATAGCAGAGCTCAGCAGACTGTAATCAGTTTTGCAAACCTGAGCCAGTGGTATCACTAGGTCCAGTCTTTTTCAACTTATTCATCTATGGCCTAGATGAAGGGACAGAGTTCACCCTCAGCAAGCTACCTGAGGGTACACAACTGAGAGGAGTGGCTGATAGCAGGGGGCTGTGCTGTTATTCAAAGAGGCCTGGATAGGCTGGAGAGATGTGTGAAGAGGAACCTCATGAAGTTCAACAAAGACAAGTGCAGGGTCCTGAACGCAGGGAGCCCCGTACTCCAGGACAGGCTAGAAGCTGACCTGCTAAAAAGCAGCTCTGCAGAGAAGATGTCCGAGTGGACAACAAACTGACTATGCACCACCAGTATGCCTTTGTGGCCAAGAGGCCAATGGGGTCCTGGCCTGCATCAGGAAGAGTGTTGCCAGCAAGTCGAGGGAGGGGATCCTGCCCCTCTGCTCAGCTCTGATGAGGCCGAACCTGGAGCATCGGGTACAAGTCTGGGCTCCCCAACACAAGAGGGACCTGGAGCTACTGAAGAGAGCTTAGTGTGGAGCTACAAAGATCATCAGGGGACTGGAGAATCTCTCATGTGAGGAAAGACTGAGAGCTGGGCCTGTTTAGCAAAGAGCAAAGAAGGCTGAAAGGAGCCCTTATCAAAGTGCATAAATACTTCAAGGGAGGATAGCAAGATGATGGAGCCAAGTACTTTTCAGGGGTGCTCAGCTATTTAGTGTATAGTTTTGTTATCATCCCAAATATAGGAAAACAGGAATAGCAATTTTCCTTTCAAGCTTGAAATCCACTTATACGTAAGGCCAAATAGGTTGCAATTAATAAAGCAGTATTTATTATTATATGATAAAAAACTGTAACAATCTTACAAACAGAAGCTCCATTAGGGCTATGAGTACAAGATTAAAGTTTTCATGAAGGATGAACTCTTTCTAACTTCTCTTTCTAACTTCTTTCTAACTTCTCTTTCTAACTTCTTGGGTGGACTCTTTCTAACTTCTGGGTGGAAAGGCTTTTATTTACACTTTAAAGAACCTGTCAACTATCTGACTTGAGAAATAGTAGATGATTGTGTGGAAGATAAGACTACCAAGAGCATAAACCAGATTGTTTAGATGAGAACGTGTAATATAGAACTAGTGGCAATGGCCGAGGTGTACACTCCAGGAAGGAAGTACATAATTTGAAAGCCCTAAAGAGGTCTTTATTTGGAAGCGTCTGCTGCGGACTCCAAGTTCTTGCCCTTTTTTCCTTTTAGGAAGGAAACTCTGACTGACCACTTCAACATAGTTCCCTTGAGGATTTCCGAAGTGTCTGATATAGAATAAAACTTTCAGGAACTATGAGGCACACTCACCTTTTAATCAGGTAATTCTCTTATATGTTATGATCTGGGAAGTGAACTGTCATAATTTTGATAGTATCTATTTCACTCAGTCTTTCCTACAGAAGAGCCTACAGTTGACTCTGTTCTTTAGTAATGTACAACACTACATTACAACATTCCAGTTTCATGAATTAAAGCCCCTTTTTTCACTGGGGGAAAAGACAAGGCACAGTGCCCCAGGCACAGGAAAATCAGACAGGGAATTGCAATTTAAATGCGTCCTGAAGTTGTTTTTGGAAGCATTCAAGACAGGATCTTCTTGAATGATAGGAACGAACAATGTCATTTTCTGACAAATACTGGATCTATAACTTTTACAGAAAAGTTCAGCCTGAACTGAGACTTTATACAAGCTCCAGACATATTTTGAAGGCTCTGACCTGGAGATGTTTAAGATGCTACAAAATTTCATAAAGATACATGACCAACTAGTTTTGGGCACTGTAGCTTAGTTGAGAATGATTTTGTAAGGCTGAAATCAGATTCTGAAAATCTGTTTTTTTTTTTTTTTCCTAAGGAACATTGCAAAGCTTTGTGTTCTGAAGAACACTTTGTAAGCTTGATTTGTTCCAGTTGATTTTTATATTTAGGGACAAGCAGTTGCAAAGCTGTCTGGACTGATTCTAATATCAGGCAGTTATTGACCTTTCTTCAACTGCCCAGGTAAAAGACAGACATATCATTCCCTTATTTTATGGCAATCTCTAGTGCTAAAAGACATTTTGATAACGAACCTGGGTTGAACTGGTAGTGATTATATGTTGCCAAAAGGCAATGAAACTTGCTGAACTTGAGAGGCACAATTTGACAAGCAAAACTTTTAACCATGTATGAATGTGTTTAGTTTTTTTATACCTAGTACCAATCTTTCCTCTTGGTTGAAATGCTGAAGCAAAAATCCCTTCCTCTGAATTTATGGCTAATAAGCTATTGTTTCCACCTGATAGGAAGTTGCTCAGCGTTTTTTTTTTTCCTCCTAAGGGTGAGGGAAGACAGCTACATGCAAATACCTTTGCATCTCCCTTCCCCCTCCCGCCCCGTTTTTTAAGCAAAGAAGGTTCATACTTATATCTGTGTTTACAGATGGGAAAACCAATGCACAAGCAGGAAAATTTGATTACTAGCCCAATTGCAAGCTAGTGGCCAGCCATACACAGAATATAAGAATCCAGAAATACAGTAGTCTATGTTATTTACTAATACTGCTGATTATAAATAGCAGTCTGTATGAATTTCTCTATTGCATTTATAAAGCATTCTTGTTTTTATTCTATTGTTTTCATCTGAATTTTAAGAAACGTAGGATATCTTCATAGATTCAGAGTATCCTCCTGCTCACTTTCTATACACCCTCTAGCTTTATAAATGGAACATAAATACTGATTTTTCTTGCAACTGTACTTTATACACAGACATCAAAATAGAAAAGATTCATTAGTGTGCATTTACTAACCATTTTTTTCTGTATTCTGCAGACAGACAACGGTGTCAGGTAAAAGTCCTTTTTCTGATAATGCTGACCAGTGATCTACTGACAGAGGATAGTTATCCACTACCCATCCTCCTTTTTCTGGAGCACCAGGAAACCTGTCTTTGTTATTCTTTGTGAGCTGTTATAAGAAGTTGGAGTCAGTAATATAATAATATAGTCTGTGAGCTGTTTACAAAGGTTGCACAGTACCAAATGATTTTCAAAACTTGCCATATTGTCCTTTCATGCTAATAAAGGATAAGACATTTATAACTTTACAAGCCTTAATGAAATAAAAATATTTTAAACAAAGCGAGATGACTATATCATTTTTAATTAAGGTTGCCTACAAAGAATTTAGGTTTCAGTCTTGAGATTTACAAACCAGTGAAAAAGTTTAAAACAATCCAAGATTCTTTGGTTAGTCTTCAAATACAATTCTTTCCATGAACGTTTTTATCTACTGTTGAGCAATATGACCAAACTGATAAAAAATACACCAACACTTTTTTGTGAAGAAATAATTCCTTAGCTCTCATTCTGTAATATATTATTATTATTATGTGTCAAGATTCCCAAGTTCAAGCTAGACAAATTTAAATAATAAATTAGATACAATACATCACCTTCTCACTTTAAAAAGTATAAAACGAGCCTCACCAAGGTACAGCAAAGATTCATATAGCTTGAAGATACAGCAAAGATTCATACAGCTTGATAATCTATCTTTAAAAGTGAGTAAGGGTATAAGAGTAGGGCAAGCGAACAGTGACAATTCGCTCAGATAACTCTCCCAGCCCTGTAGCTTTAATAGCAGGTAGACTTTGTGAGACAAAAATAGCTTGTATGTATATAGAATTCCTGAACAGATTTGTGTTTCAAGATCTTGTTTGGGCTCTCCTCAAACCTATGGAAATTTTAAGTTTATATATATATATGAAGTTTAAGTTCATATATAAGACATATATCAGACTGATCAAACAGAAAAAAATAACAGTATTTATTGATAATAGACAACAGCTTTTAGAGACTGCTTTGTCATGAAGTACTTGTAGTTTTACCTCTGCAATAGCTCCTTCCAATACTTCAGCATATATTTCAGGTGACAGTGTAATTTCAGATTCTGATGCACTTTCTACAGCTTCTGCCATTGCTTGAACTTCTGGATGGTCAGAAGTTATCTCTGGCA